CCCCAAAACCCCAAAACCCCAAAACCCCGCTGGTAGATTTCTTGATGAAATTCGGAAAACTACATTCTTGTATCATAAATATATAACTTAAGTATAATAGAAATATAGATAGATAGTATGTGTCAATTATTTAATACCATCATAAACAGTAAGCAGCAATTTTTAGAGTTAAAATCTTTCAGTTTTTGATGACTTTCATTATATGTCATCTTTTAGCTTAATTTACTTTATAAAGTTTTACATTCTTTCCTACTTTTCCTTAGCTCTGTTCCAATCTTCTGAGCCTACATTTGCAGGGCCAAGACCACCACTTCTACTGAAGAGTCTTTTGTTTGAAATTAAGTCGTAGTTGTTATAATCTGTTTTATGCATTATTGACTGACCTACACCTGAGAATGTAAGATTTTCTTATTTTCGGGAAAGAGAGTGAGTGCCTTTCGTAGTCTAATTCTTTGGAGTCATTACAAACTTCTCAGTAGAAGAAAATGACATTTATGCGGATTGAGGTACTATTGTCATTGTCCCGAATTGTTAAAAAGGAGTAAATATTGGACCTTAAAATGTGTTAAGTAAACTTGGCCCGTTTATTCTAGTATCCACCATCAATGAGTTAGATCTGAATCCTCTATTCATAGGACCAATATTGTTATTCTATCTTATAAGATCTTAGTAATTTGATTGAGGCATTGAGGAAGCTAACATTTAGCTAAAATGATTTTGATTCTGATTGAAGCTACTGATCCTCTATCTTTACAATAAATTTTGCATATTTTATTGCTGAAACTGAGATGCAAAGCTGCTTCCTTGATTATTATTGATATTCATAGTATTGTATTCATTTTGATTAAAGTTTTAGCTGTTCATTAATGGGTTTTAAGTAAACGCCTAGCCTTGGTTATATTGATTATTTAGGTTCATTAATTGATTGTTTTAACTCTGGGTAAATGAAAGTGGATTATACTAGAAGGTATTACTCAGGGAAATTTGAGGTTAATTACTTAGGGTTCTCAGGGGTGTATTATAACCTTGAGTACCTTATGCACTTTTAAATTGATTATTGCTATTCTGATCAGGAGTTGAAACTGATTACATCTAAGTTGATGTCAAGGTTTTTTTCTTGTTTCCAATAATTTATGGAGTATGTTATTTTACTTCCATAGCTTTATTTTATTCGAACTTTTGGATCTAATCACTAATCTAATTTGATTTTTTTAAATGCCTTGAGTTAGATATTAAGATCTTACTCCCCCCATTAGTATTATCATCATCTTCCTAGGTTGAATTCAAATTAGCCTCACTGCGGGCATTCAGAGTTTAAGGTATTTTCATTTTGTTTTTAATTACTAACTTCTTATTCTTAAGGTTAGAAAGCTTTGAATTTCTTTCCTCTTCAAGTACACTTTAACTTTCATCTCCATTTTGATAGTCCACCATTACTTTCTCGATTGGCTTACTGGTTCTTGCAACTACACCCAAGTGTCCATCTTTGGAAATTTAACTGACTTTTCCTTGAAATCTATCAAGAAATTCAGATATTCGCCTCTTTTGTTAAGGATTTAGTAACTTGGCCTAAATTTTTATTCCAGATTCATTGTTTATTGATTGGCTATTATTAGTTCCTTTATTGAAAAAAGATTATTCACCATCATTATCAGCATTTCCCACCACAGAGTGAGAAGTAGTCGGAGCCTATGAGAGAGTATCGTTCATGTTAGGAGTTTTGTATTATTTTTAATTACTTCCTGAATACTTGTAATTCTAGTTTGCCATAATATTAGCAGATTGATAGTCCTGCTATTGCTTTTGCATTATATAATTATTGATTTAATATTTTATCTTGTTTTTTTTGCAAAAAATAAATTCTTGGCCATATGGGGTTTTGGGGTTTTGGGGTTTTGGGG